GCTAGCTCCTGTCCACTGTGCTCGCACTGTCTGTTCCTTCTGATGGAAACACACACAGTGCCAGGTGGGGAGGGACACCCCGGCCCCGCACACAGCTTTCAGAAGTAGGCTGGAGCCTCACTGCCTCAGTGAAGCTCCAGAAGGGCCCTCCCCCACCCCCAAACGACTACACCTTCCTCTGAGCTCCCTCACACACCAGAGACGCACCCATTCCAGCACAAGTACGTTAGCACCTTTTGTTTTCTCTTTATCTACTTCTCTCCAGACCTGTAAGGAGATTCACAGACACTGGTTGAATAAAACTGTTTTGATTCAGTAATAGTCTGAAAAGAATGAGTTGATGAAGATGTGGTATAAGGAAAGGTATCCAAGGTAAGGATACACCATTCAGCAAAAAGAACAAGTTTTGTGTATGTCTGCGTGCGTGTCTGCGTACACGTGCAACTATTACTCACAGGAAATGTCTGGAATAGTACATAAACTGTCAGCGGATACGTCCAGGGACAGAAAAAGGGGTCAGAAAGAGGAAGAACTTGACTTTTCACTTTCCAGCCTTCTGTAAAATGTTATGTTTATATTTTAAAAAATTATTCAACTGTGATTTTTTTAAAAAACACCAGCACTTTGAATGAGCGTCTTTTTCTAGGAAAAACCCAAATGACAATTTTAAACCCAAGAATAACTTAGGTTCTCTGGCGTCCACAGAATCAAAACCATTTTCAAATGCTTCCACAACAACTAAGATGCTGAAAAGCACAGGAACAGCCTTGGCTGCACACGTTCCGAGGAGTCGCCACAGCAGCTTTTTAACTGAAATATTACAATGCTACTCACAGCACTCCTAGGAAACTAATAACTACTATTCCTACGTAAAAAGCTCCTCCATTTTGCACAAAAATGGGCGCTCTTAGGGAGGAGGTGTAATAAGAGTGTTGGCTGGACACACTTTGCAATCCGATGACCTGCACTGGAATCCAGGCTATCATTAGCTGGGTGATCTGAGGCAAATTCCTTAACTTGTCTAGGCCTCAGTTTCCTCGTTAGTAAAATGGGAGTGATGCTGCCAGGCTCACAAAACCCTACACCAGTGTTTCCCGAGTCCCTCAGGTGGAACATAAGCCCGTCGCTACATGGACAAGTATGTTTCACTTGAATGACAAGCACTTAAAACCAGAGAGCACAGGTGGCAGCCACCTCGAGCAAACCAGGACAATTACAGGTGCTGTGTTCTGGCAGGCGCATGGATGAGTCCGGTTTATAGCAACCGAATCTTTACCAATGCTGTTGAGCTGTACTGAGAAAACTGGAAATTTGTATTTATTAGTCCCACCTGCCGCCAGCCAAGAGTGGAGAGGGTGAGAAAGACAGGACCCCCCTTGTACAACCATGGTGCAAACTGGGCTTGAGACACGCGCTGTCTGCAGGCACTGAGACCTCGGAGGGTCCTTCTCCCTGGAGCTCTGGGAGCAGCCCTGACGGTGCTGGTTGCCTCCTCTACCCATTCTTAACCACAGATGACGGAGTCCATCCAACACATGAGTCACAGCATGTGTTTCCAGGTGTATATTTTTGTCCAGTGATTAGATTTATTCATTTAATAACTTTTTTTGGCTTTAAAAAATATACAGTTGACCCTTGGACAACATGCGTTTAAACTGTGTGGGCTCACGGTGGAGTTTTTTTCAATAAATATACTGGAAAAAGTTTTTGAGATTTGTGACGATTTGAAAAAAACTCACAAGAAAAACCATATAGCCTAGAAACATGGAAAAAATTAAGAAAAAGTTAGGTATGTCACGAATGTGACATCGGTGTATAGGCTAGGCTACCACAAAGCAATCATACTGTCGCTTATTTATTATCAGGGCATGAATTGTTACGCCTGTAAATAAATGTGAATTTATTTTTCACATTATCTCTTGATTTTTGATGTCTAGTGTTAGTAATACATATAGCATCTACAGTGTTTTGTATGAGACAATATTGATGTAGGTACTGACAGACGAGTCACCTTGTAAAGAGACAAACTATGGTATTGATAAACACAGTACAATGCTCTGTAAATGTTATTTTTTCTTCCTTACAATTTTCTAAATAACATTTCCTTTCCTCTAGCTTACTTCATTGTAAGCATACAGTACATGATACACATAACACACAAAATATGTGTTAACAGTGTATGTTATTGGTAAGGCTTCTGGTCAGCAGTAGTCTATTGGTAGTCAAGTTTGGGGGGAGTCAAAAGTGAAACACAGATTTTCGACTGCACATGGGGTTGGCATCTCTAACCCTTGCATTGTTTAAGAGTCAACTGTACACAGCAACCCTCTATTTAGGAGAAGTTACACAGGGTTTTCTTTCACAATGGCCATATGAGGTCTCCTTTTAAAATGCATTTAGTGTAAAATACATTAAGGGTAAAAGTGAAGACTGGGAAACACTGTCATAAGCCAACAGGTGCAGATTCTGTTCCTAATCCTGGCATGAAGGGATGTGCACCAGATGAGCAGAGCTAATACCCGCTTCCGCCCTGCCACCCACAAGGAGTGGTCCTGGCTGCGTTAAGACTTCCAGCTGGGTCAAATAGATGATTCCATCTCTTCAACTTTTTCAAATGTACTTTTCATTACTGATACCATATTTTAAACCACAGAAAACGTTTCAGCATCTCAGCTGCTATAACATCTTTGAATGGAATCTGCTAACTTCTGAATGAAAATAATAAGTATTAAAGTTAAGTGTACATATCGCCTGTCACTGCCTCCCCCAATTCTTATTTTGATATTTTCCAAGCTACAAAAAAGTTATGAGAATACAAAGTAGAGGAAAAATTGGAACTCTCACACACCGCTAGTGGAGTGTGAAGTTGTGCTTTGGAAAACAGTTTGGTAGGTCTTCAAAAAACTAAACATAGAGTTACCATATCACCCAGCAAATCCACTCCTAGGTATATATCCAAGAGAAATGCAAACATATGTTCACACAAAAACTTGTACTAGAATGTTCATAGTAGCATTATTCATGATAGTCAAAAAGTGAAAACCACCCAAATGTCCATCAGCAGATGAATGAATACATAAAATGTGACATATCCATACAACAGATTACTATTCAGCCATTAAAACAAATGAGGAACTGATACATGCTCCAACATGCATGAACACTGAACACATTATGCTAAGTGAAAGAAGCCAATCACAAAAGGCCACACACTGTATGATCCCATATACATGAAATGTCCTAATTAGGCAAATCCACTGAGACAGAAAGTAGATCTGTGATTGCCAGGGGCCAAGAGGGAGAGGGAATGAGGAATGACTACTCATGGGTACAGGGTTTCTTTTGGGGGTGATAAAAATGTTCTAAAATTAGATGGTGGTGACAGTTGCACAACCCTGAATATATTACAACCACTGAGTTGTACACCTGAAAAGGTGTATTTTTATGGTATTAGATCTCAATAAAGAATACAAAGTAGACCCATATAACTTTCAACTAGAGTCCCCAGTTAATATTTTGGCACATTTGCTTTCTTTCTCCTCATATGTGCGCACACGATACGGCTGGACCATTTAAAATTTAGTTATTGTGACCCTTCACTCCTAAGCACTTCAGTATGTGGAGTATTCTCTCACATAACCAAAATATGAATATCATACTGGGGAAAATTAACACCAAAACAAAACTTGTATTTAACATATAGCCCATATTCAAATTTATCAAAAATTAGGTACTGTATTTGGTTTTCAAATCCCTTTCATCTCTTGAATCTAAAAAAATTCTTTTTAATGACACTAACATATTTGAAGAATCCAGGCCAATTACTGTACAGAATGTTTCTCAATATGAACATGCCTGTTTCCTTATGAACTGAGGGAAGTTAAGCACTTTTGGCAGGAAGGCTACATAGGTGAGTTGTATCCTTCTCAGTTTTTCATGCCAGAACCCTCTATTGTTATGCCAGAACATGTCAATCTCATTAGTGGTGATAGTGATGGAAAGGTGGTATTCATTGTTGGTCTTGGTTAGGATGGTGACTAGCAGATTCCTCCACTATAAAGGTAACTTTTCCCCTCTGTAATTAATAATCTGGAGATGACCGATTGAATCTGTAAATATTAGGTTTCCGCAAATATCTTGCACCGAAAGGTTTTAGCGGCCCTTTTGAGACCTCCCTGCATTCACGTGACCAACCACTACTCTCAATTTTATTCCACCGAGTGTGAGAGCTGGTTGTGATTTCAACCCCGGCTGCACATCAGAATCACTGGTGTCTCTGGGTGTGAGACCCCAGTTAGCGTATTTTTAAATTCCCCTGAGTGATGGATTCTGAAGTACAGCAAGGGTTGAGATTCCCCGACTTAGAGGTAGAAGAACTTTGCATCCTCATTTGGCAAATAAGGAAACTGACGCCCTAAGAGATTAAGCAGCCAGTGGCCCAAAACTTGTTAATGGCATAGTTAAGATGTTTTCTGACTTGCATTTTAATATGCTATTTCTTTTGTATGTTATTAAAACAACAAAACCAGAGAAATGAATAACTTTTGTATGGTGTTAAAGCTGAGCACGGCCTAAAGTGCGTATTTCTGCTTCCAAGTTTATTTCTGCCTTTCTGTCCTTAGACCTTTGCACTCAACTTAGAAGTGAGGAACGGGGCGTTTGGTCATCAAGCTCCTCCCCCCTCAGTGCTCTTGGCGACAGCTCAAGCCCGGGGGCCCAAGGCCGAGCTGGATGTTCAAAGGGCCCGACGGTTAGCGCTGCAGCCCTGGGGCCAGCCTCTCGGCCCTGCATGCCTCCCCAACCCCGGCGGCGACTCCGGCGGGGGCCGCTCTTAGAGCAGCCGGCCGCGCAAGCGAGACGCACCTGGCAGGGATGCACCTGGCTGGTCCGCACCTGACCGGGACTTACCTGGAGGTGCGCCTTGCCCAGCCCAGGAAAACCCAGAAGTATGCGGGACCTGGGAGACAACAGAACCTGCAGGGACACCCACCCCTACTTACCCCGGCGTGATAAACCTTGTTCGCTCTTTTAACCTTAATGTCCAGGGCGGTCCCCATCTCGAATACTCCGTTTCGGGAACCACTTCCTGCCGCGCGTGACACAAGGGAAAGGAGGGCACCCCACCCCTCCGCCCGGGGTCCCGCCCTTTTCTTCTCTCCACCAGCAGTTGCGACACGTGACACCGCGCCGACGCCTGTTCGACTCCCCCGCCTTCCTCCTTCCGGTGCAGGGGCGGGCCTTAGCGCTTGCCGAAGACTGTCAGTCTTCGCCCCGCCGGCCAGGAAGGGCGGGACAGGATTAACCCCACCTCTTCCGTAAAGATAGTCGTTAACACCGGAAATACCCTTCGTCTCGCCCGTTTACTAGAGGAAGGGGGAAACTCGGCTCTCCCGGCGTGCCCCACGGCAGGGGGGCGGTGCTAGGGACGCGTTGCGGGCGCAGCCAGTACCTAGAGGCTGAGGCTCCCGTCAGGCTGTGCGGGGTAAAGAGGCGTTACGCTGTTGAGTTGGCTTTAAGGCGGTGACAAGTGGCGGCTGCGTTCGCGTCCAGTCCCTTCCTCTTGTCGTCTCTCGTCCTCCCTCGCTTTCTTTCGGGGGCTCTGAAGACGGAGGCCTTGTGTCCGTCCTCGGCTAGGCAGTTCTCCCTGCCCGTTCCGAGGCCCCGCGCTCCCTGCCTGCAAAACGTGGATTGGCGGGCGGCTCGGCCGTCCTGCCCCCGCCCCCGCCGCAGAGCCGGGGGCCAAGGTCTCGGGGAGCGCGGGTGACCTCGCCCAGCCTCGCAGGGCCGCGGGGGCTTGTGGGTACTCCCTCGGCGCGCGGCCTGGAACGGGGTGCGTAGAATGTGGGGAGGCGCGGCTCGCAGGCCCTGGGTCCTGACAGTGCATGGAAATGAAAACCTAAAAGCAGAAACGGTCCTGCCTAATCTTTTTTTTCCCAGCAAGAGCTGACTACACACAAGGAGTACGTTGCTTTGTGGGAGGATTGCCTCCAGACAGGGCAGTGGTACGGTGCTAGGCAACATACTACGTTGGTTGAAATAAAATCCCTTGTCAATGTTTTAAACAAGAACTTTTCTAATAAGCAGAGAGGTAAATCTTCATTGTTTTGGTAGCTGACTTAATACAGTGCTTTTTGTTTATTTAAAATTATTTGATTCTGCTATTTGTTTTTTTAAGTGCGTTACTTTTAGGATTACATGAGAATTTTTCCGTAAAACGGTATCCTGAATTAGTATCACGAGTGCCTCTCTCTTGGGAATGTAAGGTACTTTACAGGACAACAGTGATGGTGCTATAGGTACAATTGCTTTTGAAGGTTGATACATTGGTGTTTCCCAATATTCAGTTTTCAGCTCCTCTGTGCCCTCGGGGCTTCGTCTCGGTCTTAGATACCTTCCTGACAACTCAAACTCAGCAATTCTAAAACGATTCATTAGGGACTTAATAATCACTGTATAGTCTATTTGCAATTCAAGACGTGGATCCCTTTCCACCAGACTCACCCATCATTTCCAAATGGTAAAATGTCAGTCTCAGTAGACAAAGCAGGGAAACAGGAAAAGAAACACCTTAAAAGGATCCACATTCCAGACTTGCTTGCTTCAGCAAACCTGCTTTATACTTACTTTGTAACAGAATATTTCTTGTTCGTTGAGGACAAGTGTGCTATATTTCACTCATCTATGTAGGTTGTACACAATTTTTCTGGAATGCTGGTGCACTGCAGAGAGCTTTAGTTCCGGCAGTTATCAGTGTAAAGAGTTTGTTGGACCCTCTCCGTGTGATGGCTTCCAAACATAAGAACAGTCCATTTTTTCTCCGATCGCTGTTCTTTTGAATCTTTTCTATCCCTTAACCACACCTTAGGTGATACTGTTCTGGTCAATTCAGTTACTAAAAATCAGACCCTGTTAGTGTGTTGATCTCGTGGCTTGAGTGGGATCCTAGATTCTTAGGGTGCTAAGGTACAAGTCATGGTTCTGGTTCTCAGACACTTCCTCAACATCCTCTTGAAGGCTTGGCTTCTTCTGTGTTGAGGCAAGTTTCTCTTAACTGGCCACTGCTAGAGTTCTATCTTAGTTGATCCCTGCTTCTCTGGATAACAGGCTCTTGTTTGAAACTCCTTTCATGGGGTACATATGGGAAGACCTGATGGGCCTTGTCCTCTCCATATGTTTTCATGGAAGATCTACCTTCAGCTCGATCTTTTCCATCACCCCACTGACAGCACCGAGCAGTATACCAAGCCTTGTGGGTGAGGGTCCAGCAAGAAAGCTGGAGACGATTTATCTTCCACAGAGTCCACCCGACTCTTGAGAAACACGCGCCTTTGCCACACAAAAGGGCCAGACTGGAGGCTGCCCGTGGCCTCTGCTCTCCACTCTGCCATCTCTCTTCCATCCTCTTCCTCCCTCCTGAAACACAGAGAGAAGTAAATCAGCAAGAATGCTGACTAGACAGGTTTGCAGGTAGGAAATGGAACATCAGCCTCTCCTTCCAGTAGGCCCTACTGATAGCGGAGAGATTATCGTACAGCCTCCCCACTACATCACTTCCCACCAGAAACGCTCCCCAAGGCCAACTACCTCCTTTCATTCCTTCGCCTGCCTTCTGATATAGACTGAGAAGGAGAGGATAGAGAAAGTATTCCGTGGAAGCAGGGCTAGATCTGCAGCTTTTATTAATCTGTGGGGAAAGTGCCTGTCTCCGATTGTGGCATCTTTTGTTAGAAGATGGGGTACTATGTTGTTTTCAGCCGTGAGCTTAGTGCTCGTTCTGGGACAAGAGGAGAGGCCCCACTAAACATCTTTTAGTGGATGCTGTGATTCTCTGTTCAGACCTTTCAGGACTGAAGGACATGTTCCCTGATCTACTCAGAGTATAGCTCTCAACAGTTCTCAGTTACGTCACTCTTCAAAACTTGCCCTCAGCTGAAGAAAACTGCTTTGCCCAAAGTCATGGTCCCTTGGGGAGGTGGGGGAGGGGAGAGGGGGTGGGGACAGCCCATATCTAACGACTAGTCAGTTTAGGATATGAAGACCTCTTTCCCTCACCACAGTTTGGGACAGTTCCAACTCCAAAGCTCCCTATATTAGTATCTACTGTGCATAACAAGTTACCCCAACAGTTAAGAAAGTGGGTAAGAACTTAGGAGCAGCTTCACTGAGTCGTTCTGGCTCAAGGTCTCAGGTAGTTGCAGTCAAGATGTTAGGGCCACAGTCATCCAAAGCCTTGACTAAGGCTGGGAGATCCAAGATGGCTCCCTCCCGTGACTGTTGGCTGGAGGCCTCAGTTCCTCATCATGTGGGACTCTCCAAAGGCTGCTTTTTTTTTAAATTAATTTTTATTGGAGTATAGTTGCTTTATAATGTTGTGTTAGTTTCTACTGTACAGCACAGTAAATCAGCTGTACATATACATATATCCCCTCTTTTTTGGATTTCCTTCCCATTTAGGTCACCACAGAGCACTGAGTAGAGTTCCCTGTGCTATACAGCAGGCTCTCATTAGTTATCTATTTTATACATAGTATCAATAGTGTATATATGTCAATCCCAATCTCCCAATTCACCCCACCTCCCCGCTCTTCCCCCCTTGGTGTCCATAGATGTGTTCTCTATGTCTGTATCTCTACTTCTGTTTTGCAAATAAGATCATCTATACCATTTTCTAGATTCCACATATATGCGTTAATATACAATATTTGTTTTTCTCTTTCTGACTTACTTCGCTCTGTATGACAGTCCACAGGCTGCTTGAGAGTCCTCACAGCATGGCAGCTAGCTTCTCCCAGAACAGGCAATCCCACAGGGAGAGCAAACAGGGAGCTACAGTGCCTTGTATGGCCTGACTTCTCACATTCACTTTTCTTCTGTTCATTAGAAGAGAGTCACTAAATCCAACCCATACTTGAAGGAAGGGGAATTTGGCTCTACCTTTAGAAGGGGGCATCAAAAAATTTGTGACATATTTTAAGCCACTTAGCTCCCATTGGATGGGGAGCCTTTGTTGTAACTGCGTGACAGTTCAACTTTTCCCTCTGCCCAACCCAGTCCTGTTTCTTCACCCTATCCTTCCATTCCTGTTGCTCACCCCCAATATGCTTCCTGAACATTAATCTCCATCCCGAGCCTGCTTCCTGCAACAATCCTGTCACGCTAGCTTCCTGACTTAACTTCTCTGAGCCTCAGTTTTCTTCATCTGTAAAGTGATCTCACAATACCTTCGTTACAGGGAAGTTAATAGAATTCATAACAGTTCATATATCTATCAGGTACTTACTGTGGGCCAGGCACTGTTCTAAGCACTTTAAATGTTTTGATTTATTCCATCTTCATAAGTCTTACGATACAAGTACAATTACTGTTTACTCACTTTATAAAAGGGAGAAACTGAGGCACTGAAAGACCATGTAGCAACCAAATGGCAGCCACCCATTTTGATTCCAGAGCTCACATATGCAATCACCAATCACCGTGCCACAAATGTGTGTACAACAAAGGCCTGGGGTTATAGCAGAGAGGCACAGGACCTTAATTAAAAGACTGAGCAAAGGACTGCCAATCAAATGTGAAGATCAAGCAGGGGTACAATGTTACAGTAAAAGGTGATTTTAAAGAAAGGACTAGGGGTCATTTATCAATTGATAGTGAAGACTATTAAAATTATGGCAGAATTTTATAGTGTATTAGTTTACTAGTGCAGCTGTAACAAAATACAGTACTACAAATTGGGTGGCTTAAAACAACGGAAATTGTGCTTTCACGTTAGCTTCTGGAGGCTGGAAGTCTTAAAACAAGGTGTTGGCAGGATCGGCTCCTTCCTAGGGCCATGAGGGAAGAATCAGTTCCAGGCCTTTCTCCTTGGCTCGCAGACCGCTGTCTTCTCCCTGCGTCCCTTCACATTGTCTTCTTTTTCTGTGTCTTCACTTTCACAGGGCGTCTCCCTTGTATGTGTATATGTCTCCAAATTCTTCCTTTTTGTAGAGACACCAGTCATATTGTATTAGGGCCTACACTAATGACCTCATTGTAACTCCATTAACTCTGTAAAGACCCTGTATCCAAATTCTGTCACATTCTGAGGTGCTGGGGGTTAGATCTTCAACATATGAATTTGGTGGGGACACAATTCAACCTGTAACATATAGTAACAAAATATATACAACAAAAATATTCAGGCATATAAAGATAAATAGGTACAGTAAGTAAAAGATTTTAACACAACACAGTGTATCAGCGATCAAGCAGATAAAAAACAAAGACATAGAGGATTTTAACAAAATAAATAAGAAGAGCAATTAGCAAATAAGATGGAATTACAGGGAATTCACTTTTTCGAGTGTCCATGATGCATTTGTAAGCATTGATTGTATACTAGGCCACAAAGACACTCTCAAATTCAATTAACTAGGTATAGTACAGAAACTTTAACCACCAAAACATTGACCACTTGGAGATTAAGACATACTTTCCCAAATACATTAGGTCAAGGAGTAAATAAAAATACAATAACCAGCTAAAAAATAACAAGGTAAGAATGCTTCATATCAAAACCTATGGGATACAGCCAAAGGAAGAAAAATTATTAGAAAAAGTGTTTGAAAATTTATTAAAAAAACCGTTTGGGGCTTCCCTGGTGACGCAGTGGTTGAGAGTCTGCCTGCCAATGCAGGGGACGCGGGTTCATGCCCCGGTCCAGGAAGATTCCACAGGCCGCGGAGCGGCTGGGCCCGTGAGCCATGGCCGCTAAGCCTGCACGTCCGGAGCCTGTGCTCCACAACGGGAGAGGCCACAACAGTGAGAGGCCCGCATACCGCAAAAAAAAAAACAAAAAAAAAACTGTTTGATGCAGCAACGAAGACCCAATGCAGCTCCCCCAAAAAAATTGTTTGAAAATTTGGCCAGAGTAAAATGATATGAAATCAGGGATTTGCTATAAAATAACTCCAGGACGAGGGGGAGCAGCAGGAAGAAGGGAGGAGTTGTGACTGGCAGGATGATTGTTGAAACAGATGTTGATAATTACTGAAGCTGGGTGATGGGAACGTGGGGCTTTATTGTACCATCTCTCTGCTTTGTATGTATCTTTAAATTCCATAGTAGAAGACAAGGTAAATATATGCAGTAGGATAATATTTTTTAACTATTAGCTGAAGTATTTTTTATGCCCTGTAATTCCTAGTAGGTGACCCCCAAAATTCCTTACATCAAATTTACACCTTGAATAAAAAAATGTGTGATAAACAGCACTTTTCCAAAGATATGAAATATGTCTGGTCTAGAGGAAGGGGTGTGAACAGAGAATGGAGCAAAAATATCCTGGGGTGAGGTCTGGCTATCTGTCCTCTGAAGTCAACAGCCCACTTGGAGTTGGGGATGGACAGGGCTGCAGAAAATGATGGAAAACTCAGAGAGGCTGAGTGAGCGTGAAGGAGCAGAGGATGAGCAGATCCAGCAAGAGTGCGTTGTGAGCTGGGTGGGGAGAGCTCAAGCTTACTCTAGAAGCCCTCTAGCGTGGTGTTGCCTTTGCTGAAATGGACTGCAAATTACTGCAGCTGGGTCACTGGCCAAGATACATGGCATTTTCTTTTTTTGTTTTTTATTGGAATATAATTGATTTACAATGTTGTGTTAGTTTCAGGTGTACAGCAAAGTGAATCAGATATACATATACATATATCCACTCTTCTTTAGATTCTTTTCCCATATAGGTCATTAACGAGTAATGAGTAGATTTCCCTGTGCTATATAGTAGGTCCTTATTAGTTATCTATTTTATATACAGTAGTGTGTACATGTCAAGTCCAGTCTCCCAATTTATCCCTCCTCCCCTTACCCGCTTAACCATAAGTTTGTTTTGTACATCTGTGACTCTATTCCTGTTTTGTAAATAAGTTCATTTGTACCATTTATTTAGATTCCACATGTAAGCGATATCATATGATATTTGTCTTTCTCTGACTTACTTCACTCAGTATGACTATCTCTAGGTCCATCCATGTTGCTGCAAATGGCATTATTTTATTCTTTTTGTGGCTGAGTAATATTCCATTGTATACATGTACCACATCTTCTTTATCCATTTCTCTGTTGATGGATATTCAGGTGGCTTCCATGTCCTGGCTATTGTAAATAGTGCTGCAATGAACATTGGGGTGCATCTATCTTTTTAAATTATGGTCTTCTCTGGATATATAACCAGGATGGGATTGCTGGATCATATGGTAGTTCTATTTTTAGTTTTTTAAGGAACCTCCATACTGTTCTCCATAGTGGCTGTATCAATTTACATTCCCACCAACAGTGCAAGAGGGTTCCCTTTTCTCCACACCCTCTCCAGCATTTATTGTTTGTAGATTTTTTGATGATGGCCATTCTGACCAGTGTGTGGTGATATCTAATTGTAGTTTTGATTTGCATTTCTCTAATAATTAGTGATGTTGAGCATCTTTTCATGTGCTTTTTGACCATCTGTATATCTTCTTTGGAGAAATGTCTGTTTAGATATTCCACCTATTTCTTGATTGGATTGTTTGTGGTTTTTGATATGGAGCTACATGAGCTCTTTGTATATTTTGGAGATTAATCCCGTGTCAGTTGCTTCATTTGTAAATATTTTCTCCTATTCTGAGGGTTGTCTTTTCATTTTGTTTATGGTTTCCTTTGCTGTGCAAAAACTTTTAAGTTTAATCAGGTCCCATTTGTTTATTTTTGTTTTTATTTTCATTACTCTAGAAGGTGGATCAAAAAAGATCTTGCTGTGATTTATGTCAGACAGTGTTCTCCCTGTTTTCCTCCAAGAGTTTTATAGTATCCAGCCTTATATTTAGGTCCATTTTGAGTTTATTTTTGTATATGGCATTAGGGAGTGTTCTAATTTCATTCTTTTACATGTAGCTGTCCATTTTTCCCAGCACCACTTATTGAAGAGACTGTCTTTTCTCCATTGTATATTCTTGCCTCCTTTGTCATAGATTAGGTGACCATAGGTGCAGGGGTTTATCTCTGGACTTTCTATCCTGTTCCATTGATCTATATTTCTGTTTTTGTGGTACAGGGCATTTTTGAACCACACGACTCTCCCATCCCAGCCGAGAAGGAGAATGGGGATGTGAAAGGAGAAGGTAAGACACTATCACTTGAGTTCCAACTGAACAGTAAGATTGAATTTTTTCCCCCACCCTTAGCAGAAATGATTGCTGGAGAGCTAAACTGGGTTAAGTTATAGAGAAATGAAGATTGTTACTTTTTTGGCCATTTATATGTTGTGCCTGTAAATCTTAAAACAGCTACATATACAAAAATCAATAGACATTTCTATTTAACAGCAATAACCAGTTAGAAAATAAAATGAAAATGGGGATTGTATCCTAAATAGCAATAAAAATCTAAAATACTTGGGAGTAATTTGAATGTAACATATGCTTGAGTTACATGAATAAAGCTATGAGGCTGAATTAAGATATATGAGTTATGAAAAATGGAGAGATGGATAGTATTTCTGAATAGAATATCTAAATACTTTTAAATGCCCATCCTTATAAAATTAATTTTTAGTCTTCATTAATTCCCCTCAATATAATTTTTAATGAGGAAATTTAATGAAATTATGTTAAAATTCTTCTGAAAACATAATGAATGCTAAAAAATGATGTATCTTTTAAAAAAGTTAATTGCAGGGAAAAGAGTCCTACTTAGCACAAAGTAGAGCTATAAGAGTTAAAACCACAGCATTCTGGCATAAGATCAGTTGGACAGGATAGCTCAGAACAGACACCAATATATTAGTATTTAAGATTTTAATATATGATAAACGAGTTATCACAAATCTGTAGAAAACAGAGGATTATTTGGCAAATGATATTAGACTAAATGACTTGATAGTTAGAAGAAAAATTCATTTAGATTTTGCTATCTCACCATAAGCTCTCCTATCCCCTCCTCCTGCCAAAAATTAGTTGGGTTAAGAGTTCAGGAAATGACAAAACAGGGAATTCCTTGGCAGTCCAGTGGTTAGGACTTGGCCCTTTCACTGCTGGGCCCAGGTTCAATCCCTGGTCAGGGAACTAAGATCCTGCAAGCTGTGCAGTACAGCCAAAAAAAAAAAAATAATAATAAAAGGAAATGATAAAACAAGTTAGGCATAGACTTTTTTTTTAATATAGTTTTTTTTAATGTTTATTTTATTTTTGGCTGCACAATCTCCCTTTTTTAAGGCTAACCATGCCACATAACAACATAATCCTGGGAGAGATATTTCATCGTATTCACAGCTTCTACCCACACTCAAAAGTGATGAAATTATACAAGGGTGAAGGTCATTGGGGGATCATTCTTAAGATTTTGACTGTCAAATCTATAAGAAGAACTTTAAAACGCAGGATATGAATAACACTTGCAAAAGAGGAAATTAAGTAGTAAGCAGACATACGCAAAAATGTTTAACTTAAAAGAAAAAAAAAAACCCAAAGAAATGCTAGTAAGAATCTTCCATTTCAGAGATTCATTTAGCAAAAAATACTCAATATTGGCAGATAAGAGGTGGAACAAACATCTTCATTCATTTATAATAGTAATGTGAATGGTATGACAAAGGTAGAAAAAGATTTGGCAATATATACCAAAGTTTCTTAAATGTTAATATTCTTTGACTCGGTAATTTGACTGTTGTAAATCTATCTAAACAATATAATCCTAAATTTGAAAAAAAAAACTTAAACATCACAGTATTCACAGCAAATTATTAGTAATGAAAAATTGGAAAAAACCTACTTGACAAAACAGTCTTGGTTTGGTAAACTATACCTTCAAATCAGTGAGAAATTATCAGCCACTAAAAACATGGTTATGCTTAAAGAAATAAAAGAAGACCTAAACTGATGGAGAAATATTCCATGTTTATTGAGTACAAGACTCCATATTATTAAGATGACCATTTTTCCACTCAGTGCAATCCCATTTAGCAACCTCAGTAACCTTTTTGGTAAAAATGGACAAACTGATTTAAAAATTTACACGATAACGCAAAGAACTCAAAACAGCCAACATAGTTTTGAAAAAGAAGAACAAAGTTGGAGGATTTATATTGTCTAACGAACAACCTTATTAATGAATGGTCAAGAGACTTCAGCAGGCACATCACAAGAGAAAAAAATATGAATAGCCAATAAACACACTTAAAGATGATCAGCATCATTAACGATTATGGAAATGCAAATTAAAAGTATGCCGAGATATACTACACAGCACTAGCATGGCTAAAATGAAAGAGTTTGACTATACCAAGTATCGGTGAGGCTGTGGAGGAACTGGGACCCTCACTTGCTGATGGGAATGAAAAGTGAAACAACCATTTTGTAAAACAGCTTGGCAGCTCCTTATAAAGTTAAACATACCCTTATGATATGGCTGAGCACAATCACTCCTAGGTGTTTACCCAGAAAATGAAAACACATGTCTACACAAAGACTCGTACTTGCATGTTCGTAGTAGCATTATTGATAATAGACAAAAACTGGAAACAACCCGAATATTCATCAAGTGGTGAACGGACAAACAAAGAGCAGTATATCCACACGATGGATCCCTACTTATCAATACAAAAAACAAGCTATTGGGACTTCCCTGGTGGTGCAGTCGTTAGGAGTCCACCTGCCAATGCAAGGGACATTGGTTCGATCCCTGGCCTGGGAGGGTCCCACAGGCTGCGGAGCAACTAAGCCCGTGCAACACAACTACTGAGCCTGCACTCTAGAGCCCGAGAGCCACAACTACTGAGCCCACGTGCCACAACTACTGAAGCCCGTGCGCTCTAGGGCCATTGATCCACAACAAGAGAAGCCACCACAATAAGCAGCCTGCCCACTGCAACGAAGAGTAGCCCCCGCTAGCTGCAACTAGAGAAAGCCCGTGGAGCAACAAACACCCAACGCAGCCAAAAATTAAAAAAAAAAAAAAACAGAAAAAGACTACACAGTATTACAAGAAAAAGACAAAACAACCACAACAACTAAAAAACAAGCTACTGATCCATACAACAGCATGGATGAATCTCAAGACATGCTGAGCAGAAGAAGCCAGCCGTAAGACTACATAATTAATATAAGTTCCAAGCAGGCAAAACTAACCAATAGTGACATAAAATGGATCAGTGGATACTCGTGAGGAGGCTGGGGGACAGACTACAGACAGTCAGGAGGGTACTTCTTAAGATGAAGGAAATAACCTATATCTTGAGTGCGAGTTAGTTACACAGGTTATCCATTTGTTAAAATTCATCAAACTGTGTATATATACGGTGGGTGTGGCTTATTTTACATAAATTATATTTGCATAAGTTGACCTCAAAAGTCATACAGTTATGCAGATCATATTCTAACATAGAAAATGGTTGTGCTAAAATAAAAATTTAAAAAGAATTCAGAGTTTCAGCTATAATATGATTACAGCTGTGAAAAACAGGCAAACAAAAAAGTACATGCAACATAAGTCTCTAAGTTAAACAGACAAACAAAAAAAGCACAGAGGGCTTCCCTGGTGGCGCAGTGGTTGAGAGTCCGCCTGCCGATGCAGGGGACGCGGGTTCGTGCCACGGTCCGGGAAGATCCCACATGCCGCGGAGCGGCTGTGCCCGTGAGCCATGGCCGGTGCGGCTGCGGCGCCCGCCGCTTGTGCCCCAAAAAGGGAAGAGAAAAAAAAAGGGAGAGCCCGGCCCGCCAAAAAAAAAAAAAAAAAAAAGCACAGAAATCCTAGCAGAAAAAGAAATGCCCCCCAAATATTAACAGTGTCTGTACTGGGGTGATTAGGACTATGAGTACCTTTTGTTCTTTTTTAGTTCTTTTCACAAACATGCATTATTTAAAAAAATATTTACCATCAAATTTAAAGTATTTTCTATTAAATTAAAAAAAATAGTTACCATTAAATTTGAGAAACGGAAAAAAGAATTCATAAGGGCAGAGTCAGCATTCTTTCAACTGCAAGAGCCAGAAACCTACTTAAATGATCCTGAGCCACACACAGGTATGTTGGCTTTTGTAATTGAAATGCAAGATGGAGTTAAGTTATGCACAAGATTAATTTACTCATTTCTGGATATTCTTCCTTAGAGAGGAGCCTTACCATTTATGGGGGAGACATCTAAAATATCTCTCAAATAGGCAAATTGATGAATACTACACCATAAACACTTTCGGTATTAAAAAAGCTGTAAGGAAAGGAAAACTTGTTAAGACCATATATTTTATCTCCTACGTTAATTTCATTCCCACAGCCTTCCAATTATTCAAATTGTGTAAAGTTCACATTTGGTGCCACGCTTCTCCTTTCCTGGTTTGTTATTTCCTTTCCATTTACCTACCTGAAGTAGAGTGTCTGTTTACCATGTCGATTACCAAGGAGATATTGCTGATGCGCCAACTGTAAACTTCATACAGTGTATCAACAAGGGACCATCATGCCCTGAGAGTTAGTGTGCTGGAGTTATCCAAAATTCTACAGTGTGAACCCACTAAGAAGAAAATAGAACAAGATGATGTCTTGTAAAAGATTTTCGTGAGGAAAATCACTGAAGTTTACTTCATTTCCTGCCATTGCTCTTGAATGCCTAAGGATGTGTCAGGGATGGAGCTCATCAAGGTTTAAATATGGCAGTGGCCAGGCCCCCACTCCAGCTCCTGTATCCACTACAGGAGTGTGGTGCGCTGGACTCCTCCACAGACTACTGGGTTTTCCTGGACTTCCAGGCGGGCCAGGTGGCAAGGAGATATCAGGTGCTACCACAGCCCTGTAGGTAAGTTCCACCTTTTGGTTCACCCTCCCTGACCCTAACTGAGCAGGCCAATGGCTGCCTACCAAGGGGCTCATCCTCCAGATGAGGTATCCTCTGCTCTGTCTCGGTTATGGTGCCAACTGTTTATGATTTTTTACAGTTTTTTTTACCTGTAATTGATTTCTAATCTCATAGCATTGTGATCAGAAAAGATGCTTGATATGATTTCAATTTTCTTAAGTTTACCTAGGCTTGATTTGTGACCCAAGATGTGATCTATCCTGGAGAATGTTGCGGGTGGACTTGAGAAGAAAGTGTATTCGGCTGCTTTCGGATAGAATGTCCTATACATATCAATTAAGTCTATCTGGTCTAATGTGTCATTTAAGGCTTGTGTTTCCTTATTAATTTTCTATCTGAATGATCTGTCCACTGGTGTAAGTGGGGTGTTAAAGTCCCCCACTATTATTGTCTTACTGTCGATTTCCCCTTTTATGGCTGTTAGCATTTGCCTTGTATACTGAGGTGCTCCTATGTTGCGTGTATATATATTTACAGTTGTTATATCTTGCCCCATTGGTTTATGTTCTCCATCATCATGGAGCTCTTCTTGGTTTTCCTGGGTAGTTTCCACACTAATCCTAAACTGAGAACAAAATGTTTTGTTAGATACTCTCTGCTAAATACACACCAAAACTGAAAATAGGTAAGGATCTGGAATAAAAGAAATGCTAGGTAACTCTGCAGAGCTCCACTTTTAAAATTCCAGTTTTAAAATTATAAATCCACATGATCCTAGCACTAGTGCAAAGGGCCAAGGATATGACTTTCAGGAAGACTGGTAGTCTGCTGTCCTAGAGCTATCTACTAAACTGAACAAGCATGTTTGCCAGGCACCCTGCAGGCCCTTATGATTCACAATTCATAATCATATGAGAGAGATTGATGGGTAGATAGATATGTGATAAAGCAGATCTAGCCAAGTGCTAATTCTAGAATCTGTGTGGTAAATGCCTGGTCACTGTACAATTTTTTCAGTTCCTCTCTATGTTTAAAAGTTTTAAAATAAAAGTTGGGGTGAAAATGGAAGTAGAGATACTTATACAATTTACGGGGAACATATATTACTCTTCCTTTGGTGAGTTGTCTCACATCTACTTACTGGATGCCGGTTATGAATTATGCTAAATCCTGAAGACAGACATAGTCTTCCCTTCATGTAGTTTACAGCCTAGAAAGGAAGAGAGATGGTTGAACAAATAATTCCAGTAGAATGTGAAGAATTATTGTAGGGCTCACTCCAGTGACCTCGTTTAACCTAATTATCTCTGTAAAGACCCTATTTCCAAATAAAGGCACTTTCTGAGTACTAAGGGTTAGGACTCTAGCATGTCTTTTTTGGAGGGACACAATGCAACCTATAACATGAGTTGATCAGCTTTGCATTTTGGAAAGATCCTTCTGACTGCAATCTCTGCAGAGTACATTAGGGGAGGAACATCACACAAAGCATCTCAGGAGACATATGTAGTAATCTTAGCAAGAGACGTTAGTAACTGGACAACGGTCATAGTAATAATGTAGGATGGAAAGAAGTGGGCCAATAGAGACACTTTAGGAGCTGGTCCCGATGTGAGCTCACACATGAGCTGGGAGAGTGAGAAGGGGTCTCCCTATGCATGAGGGGTTCAGGGTCCCACGTCTCACCCAAACCCGCATTCGCAGCAGGTATGACCATATGGCCTTTGTGAAACTTGTAGTCATCACAGGGAAGAGTGTTCACTTCCTGGTTCTCCAGGCCCTGGAGCTTCCCTTCCACTCTGAGATGCCACGCCCCCATTCAGCAAGAGCTCAAATTATCCATTCACTGATAATCATTAGATCATTCAGGAAGTCACTGAAGGGAAAACTCCTGTTTATTTCTGGAACCATCAAACTTCCATTTCACGTTCTTCCCTAGAAGGTATTTACGTGACTGTCTCTGATTTTTTTTTTAAGGGAACGTTGATGTCTGGGTGCTACACAAAGGGTTCCTCTTACATTACTCCAAATATGGGCATGAGACTAGAAGTAACAAGGCAAAAACTGTCTGTCTTCTGGAACTGAGCACACCTGCATGTGAATTAAATTCACTCTCTGAAAATGTCCATGTAATCTTAGAGGTTTAGTCAGGAACTCTGGAGGGAATGCTAGATGCCCTCAGTACATGTCCTCCCCTTCCTCTGGAGTAGTAAAAACTCCATTTTTTGTTCTCAGCTGTGTATGTGGTTGCCCAGAAGAATTTGTACAAGGGTGTCTCCATCACCCTTGTAACTAGGTGTGGCCACGTGACTACGTTCTGGCCAAAGGGATGTTAGTAGAAGCCACGTGTGCTACTCCTGGGAAGTATCTTTAAAGAGAAGGTGTAAATCCTTCTTTTCCCCCTTCCTCCCACTGCTGGCTAGACTTTGGGATGTGTTGGTTACAGTTTGAGGAGTCCTCTTGGACCTTGGGGTGGAGACTTCTTGCTGAGAATGGAAGAGGGACAGTTTAGAAAGAGTCTGAGCTCTTCCTGACCATGGACCCTCCATCCTGGCCCTGACTGCCTACACTTATGTGTGAGAGAAGGAAACTTCCTTCTTGCTGTAGTAGACAGAATAATACTCCCTCTCCCCCCAAAAAAAGATGTCTACATCCAAATCCCTGGAAACTGTGAATGTGTTACCTTACAAAGAGACTTTGCAGCTGTGATTAAGCCAAGGATCTTGGAAGAGGGAGATTATCCTGGATTATCCAGGTGGGCTCAAGTTAATTAAACGGGTCCTTAGAAGAGGAACGTCAGAGACAGGAAAAGGGGATGCAGTGATGGAAGCAGCAAAGGTTGGAGCGATGCACCTTGAAAATGGAAAAAAGAGCCGTAAGCCAAAGAATGCAGGTTCTAGAATGCCTCTAGAAACTGGAAAAGGCAAGGAAACAGTCTTCCCTGGAGCCTCCAGAAGGAACTTAGCTCTGATGAACCTTGATTTTAGTTGCAAAAGACTCATCTCAGACTTCTGAGCTCTAAAACTGTAACAGAATAAATGTGCGTTATTTTAAGCCACTAAGTATGCGGTAATTTGTTATAGCAGCCACAGGAAACTAATACACTTGCTTAAGTGCCTGTTATTTTCTGCTTTCTAACACTGGCAGCCGACTCCGGTCATAACTAATACAGAGTTGGGTATCCAGAAGTGGGAAGATGCACGCGGCAGAACCTAAGTTGCAGCACTGAGGTAGCAATTGGACGGTGAGGGCTCAGATACTGCAGGGAGGAAAAATGACAACCGTTAGTAGGAAAAATGACATTTGGTGGCATGTTCCCAGTATTACTTTAGAAAGCATACTACCTGCTGACCAAGGCTGCGCACTGGGAAAAATGATTGAAAAAAATCAGAATTTGGAGCACATTGGGCTGCTTCCTTCCACTTTCTGCAAAGTGCAAGAGAGAGGTGAACTCGGGGGGAAAGTCAGCCAGTCTGTAAACAGGGAATATTATTGTGCCAAGGAAGCCCTCTCTGCCTGGAGTCTACGATTTCATTTGACTGATAAACTGATAATCTGGGGTCTGCTTCCATACCCCAAGCAAAGGCAGCCCGGAAAGATGGTTTTACTGAGGTTTCCAAGTTTTACAAATGGCTTCATACTTCAATTTTTCTGCCCGAGGGTTAGAGCCAGTCCAGAGGTAAACCTTAGTGTAAGGGTGTTTTACTTTCCCAACCGAGCCCATCATTTCATGTGTCCTCAAGGTATTAAGGTGAAGAGAAGCATAGTGCACAGTAGCTAAAAGACCAAAGTCTTCAGACAAAAACTGTCCAGGCAAGTATTTGGGCTCCAGTTAGTTGAACACGGAATAGAGTTGCCAAATAAAACACAGGATGCCCAGGTACATTTGAATTTCAGATAAACCGTGAATAATTTTTAAAGGAAAATATGTCTCAAATATTTTAATTCTAGAGTATTTTTCATTGTTTATCTGAAATTTAGGTTTAACTGGGAATCCTGTGTTTTCTGTTTTTTAAATTTGCTCAGTCTGGCAACCCTAAAATGGAACAGACCAGAAACAAACATATCAGAAGCCTACTAAATGTGTGAGGGTATTCATTATATTGTTAAGGAAACTGGAAACTGTCTTGCAAACGCAGGTGACTCAGCAATCCGTAAAGCAACTCCTAGGACCCCATATCTGTTCAGCTCCTGAGAAGTGTATTCCCTCTAATGCTTACTTCCAATGTGGTTTTTGAAGATAAGGGACAGGGAAGTCCTCCTGCCGGGCAGGGCCAGAAGGATAACAAGAAGAGACTTTGGTCCAGAGCAGAGGGTATTCAGATGCGCTGACCAAGGAATCTACTCTGCTGACAGAGAAGGGGTTCTCACCACTCCTGCTCCCACAGGATTTGATCACTGCTATGGGCCAAGGATTTCCAGGTGCTTCCCATGAACCCCTTTTCCAAATGGGAGGTTTTATTGTAACTAGCTTTTCCTACTGCACGACCGTATGTTGCTCATTTTGAAGCAGATAACTTTTCTTTTAGTTTGTGGGTTTCCAGACCACAAAGAGTCCCTTTGGACCAATGGAGAGCTCCGTATACCACCCACAGTGCAGGTCTCTGAGCTGGAGGGACTTTGGAATCGCTGCTCTTGGGAAAGGTATACATCTGTATACGTGTGGGAAGAAAGGAGTGTATAGATATATGGGCAAAAGGGCAAGTTTGCTTTTTTGGCAGCTTTCCTTCCTCTTCCAACATCCTCCCCTTCTTCTGGAGCAGAATATCTTTTTGTGCAGCATGCTGGGATGTCACAACTAAGTTACAAGCTTATTCAGATATTGGTACCCTCACTTTCAGGGCAGATGAGTGAGTCTTGGAGCACATACAGCCTTTGGTCACAAACAGCCTGTCCTTTTGCTCCACTGGGCCGTCATCAGGAAATGGTTGGGATGCTATGAAATTAGAGACGGCATAGTCCACATAAAACCACTCTCACTTCTGAGACCGATTACAAGTTTGGGGGAGGCTCAAAAGCACCCTCAGATTCAATAATTCATTGGAAAGTCTCACAGAACTCGCTGAAAACTGTTCTACCCATGACTATCGTTTTTTACAGCGAAAGGATACAGTTTAAAACCAGCCAAGGGAAGCAGCGCACAGGGCTGTGTCCAGGAAAGCACCCAACATGGAGCTTCCACTGTCCTCTCCCTGTGTAGTCATGGATAGTGTTACTCTCCAGGCATCAATGTATGACAACACATATGGAACACTGCCACCCAGGAAAGCCCACCCAAATTTTGAGTCCAGGGTTTTTATTGGGGCTTCTTCGTGTAGTAATGCTGACTTATCAGATAGCTGATCTCAGTCCCAAGCCCCTCCTGAAGTTGAACTAATACCCAAAGCTCCCTCCCTAAATCACCCTAAGTTACATAGACTTTCTGCCATGGCCAGCCCCCAACCTAAACAAAGACACATCTATTGAGCATGGCGACCTATTAGAAGCGGAAGGCAAAGGTCAGACCTCTCTGTGGGCAAAGTTAAATTCTTTACTACACAGATACACTCTTCTACAATAATAGAACCCCAATTCTTTTTCTTTCTTTTCTTTTTCAGCCGCACCACGCGGCATGTGAGATCTTAGTACCTGCAGTGGAAGTGCGAAGCCTTAATCACTGGACTGCCAGGGAAGTCCCGGAACCCCAATTCTTAACTGAGCACAAGGCACCCAGAATCCGGAATCCCAACCTCGACCAGAATCCCAACCTCCTGTGTGTCTAGTTGTGACGATGTGACCAAATTCTAGGCAATGGGATATGAGTGGAGGTGGTATTTGTCACTTCTGAAAAGTGTCCTTAAATGGAGACCATTTCTCCGCCCCTCTCTTTCTTTTTGCTGCCTAGATGGGGATTCAGGAGCTGTCTTGGCCCGTAAGGTAAAGCCTCATGTTGAGGATGGTGAGCAACAAGGTGGAAGGAACCTGGGTTCCTGTTGACTGAGGCACCCTTCATACGGCTGTTAAGAGAAAACATTAAATCATGTTTAAGCCAGTGTTACTTTAGATTTTCTGTCATTTGCAGCAGGATCTAATTTCAACATTTACTTGAAACTTACTTTCATATCGCTTACATCCAGTTTTGCAAAACTCTTTGCTCATCACTCACTGGACTCCATCTTTAACCCAACTCACCCACAGGCTGTCAGATGCTCCCCAGTCATTTCCTCTCTGTGGTAACTCTTGCCTGTCTAGGACACTGGCCTTTATCCCAAGCCTTTATCACATCCAGGCATTTCACTTTCCATTTTCAGCTGAGGCATGAGGAAAGGAAAGGGATGTTTTCTGATTATATGATCATATTTTCCATGGCTAATAGATTGGTGACTGACTGACTTAACACCTAAACTTTATAGTTAAACTTACAGGTCAATTTTCTTGATACACCTCTTAAAAATTGAAGAACAGATATTCGCTTAATCAGAATGAAGATTTATAAACCTTTCTAAAACCGAATATTTGAATTTTATCCACATTTTATCAAAATGTAGCAGTGTTCCCTATGCCCAGTTGCTTTGTATCATGTACACAGAAGGATACAGGAATATACAAGGATACAGCAGGATAAACACTACGTTTTTAATTTTTATGATTTGGCGTTTTGTCGTCCATTGTTCTTCATAAAGACTTCGTCCCAGCTTTTACAGGCATCTAAGAAGTTAATCATTGAAACATAAAGGATGGGAGTTCCCTAGTGGCCTAGTGGTTAGGCTTCCAGGCTTTCACTGCTGTGGCCTGGGTTCAATCTCTCGTCGGGGAACTGAGATCCCACAAGCTGTGTGGCGCAGCCAAAAGACAAACAGACCAACAGAACCAACCAAATAAAAGAAAATAAAGGATGAACTAATACCACGTCTTAGATTATGGAGACAGGGATTTTACCCTTCCCTTATTTAAGAGCAGCAGGACACTGGGACATCGTGCAATCTCTGTCACCTTCTTCATGGTCTACCAGTCTTGAAACTGGAGGCAGGCAGAGGGTGGAAGAAATGACACAAACCCAAAAGTCTGACTTCTCATTTGCCTACATTAATGACCTGACTTTCTCATTTTCATGGTAGAAAGAGATATGTGTATATCTGAAATATAAAAGTTAATTTTCTCATTACTGCCCAGTCAAAATCAATATTTAAAACTTCAATATGTATCAATGATGTGATTCTTACTTTGCTCCATTACAAACTCAAGGAAAGAAAAGATGTATAACACCTGAAGAATGGAAAAGTCATAAAGCCTTAGGAAGGTTACCAAATAACTTTAGGAAGGTTGTCTAATCATAATTATTAGACAAGGACTTGACAGGGATTTGTTCCCTCAGTGAAAAAGGCCTCATGGAATCTTCTTGCTGAAAGGAACCTAAGGACTTAATGACATGAGTTTCCTCCAGATGAAATAACCAAGGGCCCAGCGAGATCAAAGTAGATGCCAAAGGTCACCTTGCTAATTAGCAGCAAAGCTGGAAGCAGCATCCGAGTTGTTCTCGACATCCCATGTGTCCTCTGTGATGGTTACAGAAGTTTCATATCATCAAGGTTAAGATGAAAGAGCTTCTCCTAAGCTGCAGACGTGTTTAGATGCAACCTCAGCAAACAATTGGATCCACTTCACCTGTGTTCTTCTGATTGGAAAGAAACTTGTATTCTGGGGAAGTAAAAGATTTCTGTCTCCAGAATAATACAAAGACTATTTTCCTGCCGAACCAAATCAAACCAAACCAAAGAGAGAACGTGTTGCTGTCCAAAGGTCCTCAGCAACACAGATCAGCTAAGGAATAACACTAACGTCATAGCTCCTCTTGTAACTTGTTCATTCCTTGAGGATGAGAATCACTCAGCTTTGTATCTCCTACCCCACTTAGCACATCGTTGGTGCTGAAATTTCTTTTTAATGAATGAAGTATATAAATCATTGCTTTGTTGCCCTAGCATTGTACCCCTTTCAAAAGAAGCACTCAGTAAATATGTGTCTAATTTCCTGTGCTGTCAGAAATATTGTTTAATCATACTGTTAAAAATAAAGACCTCCAGGGCCGACTGAACTAAATTCTCCAAACCACTAGATGCTCTTTCCTCTTTGGGCCACTCAGCTGTGCAGCCGGAAATGGATCGTGGGGAGAGAGCTGCAGCTCTTCCTCAAATACCCCGGAATGTTGGCTATGTCAGAAAGTGTTTGGAGAATGCTTCGGAAGCTGAGAGAATATTTCCAAAGCAATAGACACACAAAGATATTTGAACCAGAGAATATGCACTCGAAAATAGATGCATGGAGCGCATCCATAGAATACCAAGTTTTTACCAGGTTTAGGAGCTGCAGCCCATTACCATGAACCCAATAATTAAGGTAACTATAAAACATGCGTTTGCACTCAGGCATGTAGTTTTACATTGATCTTCTTACAGTAAAATACGTATAAAATTGTGATCAAACTCATAGGCATATTATAAGTGATAAGACCTGATAAAGGACACTAGCATGTTTCAGGAAAAAAACCTGTAGAAACAATTATATCTTTTTAAAAAGACATACAATGATTTTTCACTGAAAACTAGGTATCTTTAGTTGAAATCTGGGAATACAGCTAAGTGTTGGGCCCACACTAGGATAAACAACCTCTCATATTCTCTGCCAATTCACACAGTCAAAAGGATGTGCACGTTTCCTCAACAGACAACACAGACACAGGTAGGAATTGTCTAGGTTTGCAGTTTCTAGTCCTGAGAAGATTCCCACCATATCAATGTGAAAACGTGCTGTTTCAGAGAGTTGAGAGCAAATCAAGACATTGAAAGGATCGACCCAGTGGAATACGACGCAGCAAGAAAAAGGAACAGACTACCGACCCACACCACAGCCTGGATGGATCTCAGAAACTTTCCACTGAGTGAAAGTTGTCAGACCCAAAGACTGCATACTTAAAGATTCCACTTATGTGAAATTTCTAGCAAACACAAAATTATAGAGACAGTGTAGAACGGCAGTTGCCCGAGGCTACGGGTGGGAGCAGGGAGCAGACAGGCAAAGGTAGCTTTCCAGATGGAGGGAAGTGCTAAAAAACTGGATTGCAGTGATGGTTCGTAAATGTATACATTCACTAAAACTCACCAAACATACCCTTATAAGAGTGATGTTTAAATTATACTTCAATGAAGCTGTTCTTGTAAAAAGGAGAAATTAAGAGATGATTCTTTCAGGGCCAGCCTGTTGCACAAACAGGTTGCCTCACCTGTAATATTCATGGTAGCCATTGTACTTTCCAAATGTGAGAGGATCTCTCCACAAGGGGTGCTTTGACATACACATCTAGATACTGTTATATCAAATCAGGTTTCCAAAATTAGAAGGTACAATTTCTAAGCATAATTTTTATTCTATTAGTGTACTCACAGTACCAATGCCATGTTCAAGAATGTCAGTACGTTGAATTGAGGGAAACAAACAAAAAGCTTCCCTGATTTGGGGGAATGGTGGTGTGACTGGGAGCCCAGCTTCACGGGCTTTTCTTGAACCAGGCAGCTGTTTAGGGCAGCTCCCAGGGCAGGAGGAAAGGTATTTAGGGTGTAGACTTAAATGCCTTCACTAACAACTGTGGTATGCTGGCTACACTCATCCCTACCACCACAGAAATGTGGGGCAATTGTATCAGGAAAATTCATCCTGTTCAAAGGGCAAAGAATGAATGGAACATTCAACTTGACTGGTGTTTCTCTGCAGCAAGTGGTTCTCATACTTGAGTGGGCATCAAAAATCTCCGGACTTGGGCTTCCCTGGTGGTGCAGTGGTTGAGAGTCTGCCTGCCAATGCAGGGGACACGGGTTCGAGCTCTGGTCCGGGAAGATCCCACATGCCACAGAACAACTAGGCCCATGAGCCACAACTACTGAGCCTGAGTGTCTGGAGCCTGTGCTCCGCAACAAGAGAGGCCGCGACAGTGAGAGGCCCGTGCACCGCGATGAAGAGTGGCCCCCGCTCGCTGCAACTAGAGAAAGCCCTCACGAAGAAACGAAGACCCAACACAGCCAAAAATAAATTAAAAAAAAAAAAAAGATCTCCTGACTTGTTAAAAAGTCAGGTTCCCGGGGCTGGGGCCTGAGGCTGCCAAACTGGGTGTCTGGGAAGCAAGACCAGAGTCTGAATCTTTAATGAGCCCCCAGGTGATTTTTATGCTGATGGTCTTCAAAACACAGGTTAAGGAACACTGAAGAAAGAGAAGAAAAGCAAAGAAAAAGAAGAGAAGAGAAGAGAAAAGGAAAGAAAGGAGAAGAGAAGGGAAGAGAAGAGAAAAGGGAGGGAGGAAGGAAGGAAGGAAGGGAAAGGAAGAAAGAAGGAAAGAAAGAAAGGAAGGAAGGAAGGAGGGAGGGAGGGAGGGAGGGAGGGAGGGAAGGAGGAAAGAAAGAAGGGAGGGAGGGAAAAAGAAAGGAAAGAAGGAAGGCAGGAAGGAGGGAGGGAGGGGAATAAGGAGTGCCCCATGAAGGAGGTGAAGATGAAGATGAAGAAGGTAAAGGCCTTGCTGCCTGGGTACCTTCACTGAGTTTAGCTTTAATTCCTTCTAAGCCACCAGCTGTGTTTCATCTCCACATCTTACACTGTGTCCTCTTTACCTGTCTCTTAGCCCTGCTTTCAGGCCGAGGAGTCTCACCTGTGTTGGACTGGAGACAAATAGTAGTTAAAGCATTTTCTCTTTCATGCCCCCCACCGACCCCCATGGGCCAAGACTGAGCTAGAGACAGATTAAGCCTTTGCTCACTGACCGGTAGGGTGGTCTTCACCTTGGGATCCCTGGAGAGGAACCTGCAGGGGATTCTTTGCTCTGAAACGTTGCTGAGGGGGAGGGAAGCAAGAGTCGACTGGATCTGACGGCCCAGCCCGGAACAGAACGCCTCCCCTGCTGGGGACACCTGTTGTCACGTGGGGAGAGAGGAACGCCCTCCTGCCTGCACACAGTGGTCCACGTGGACTCCTT